TTGTAGATACGTTGGTATATATGTACATTAAACAAAAATCAGTTAGAGTAAAATTGAAATTTAATAAATTTTTATAAAAATAAAAACTTTAAAAAAATTAAACTCGTTCGGACATTTTTATTTAATTTCGAGTCAAAAATTTTAGACTCAATTGAATTAACTAAAAACTATAATACTTAATTTGAGCACGCATTTCAAATAATCTGTGATAAAAGTTAAATGTAGAAACGTAAAAAAGATTGGGGGTTAGATCCTTAGACGCAACATTTTGCCAGAAAAGAACAAGAAAAATCTCATTTTTGAGTTATTTGTTTTTTGTTTTGAGTGATTTATTTGAGTGATTTTTTTATTGATTACCTCTTGATGATGTTCTCATGAGTGTAAATTGTTCAGTAATATTTTTGGGGACGAAATTTTTTGGTCTTTCATGCCGCCGTCTTTTTAGTGAGTTTATGGCTGACAATTTTGAGTATAAATAACATTCTTAAGTGATTTTAGCGTGAAATATTTTGATGTATTATATACTTATATGTGCATATGTGCATATAAGTGATTTCTAGAATAACATTTTGGTTTTTAAAAAACCAATCCTCAATATGGAAATATTTAATGAGTGACTTCTCCAAGTTTTTGTTTTAAAGTAAATTTTTAGATTATCAAAACCGGTTACTAACTAGATCTATTTTAATTAACAGAGGATGCACTTAAATAACTTGTGTCACAATCAATTTTAGGAATTGGATTTTGAAAACATGAATTTGAAAGTGATACCATCACAGCACAATATCTCTAATAAATCAATAACTAATTGAATCTCGTAACTATTTTGAAATTTCCAACCTCAAAAATTTGTACAATGTTTTGTTTCAGTGTTCTTAGACGAAAAATTAATACCATACGAGTATGTTGCTCTCATGGATGTTTTCGATTCAAAAATTTAAATCCTTGTACTTTATTGTAACAAAAAAGTAAATTCTTGTATTTTATTGTGGTTTTAAATTGGAAGACTCTATACTGAATTTAGATAATTTTGGAAAAATTTTGAAGATCTTCAAAAATTTTATCTATTCATACATAATACGAGTATGTATTTATATGTATGAGGTTTATGTAAAAGCACATATTATTATACATACATATATGTATTAATATAGTGTATAATCAATGTATATATATATATATATATATACAGTAGCGTTATTGTCTTAAAAAGTTTCAAGCTATATTAAATGTTATCTTTAAATTCCTCTTTTAACTATAACAAGGATATTGGGTAGTAAAAAGTATTTAAATAGGCTTTTATTTAAGGCAATCATATATGTATAACAAAAGAAAAAAAAAAAAGGCTAATATGTGTACATATTTTTAAAAGGATATTATTTTTTCTTTTGAAATTGGTATAGGCAATTTATTTAATTTTTCTGACCTATACAGAATTTCTGGGAATCGATTTTGTTAGCTATGTTAATATTTTATAATTAAAGATTATTTTTCTAAAAACGAAGGACATTATCTTTGTTGATTTTTTTCTCTCTCATATATACATACATACATATATATAGAATATTAATGTTTAAGTATATTTTTCTTTGGCCAATTATTGACAACACTTTTATTTGTACACCTATATACATGCCTACTTATTCCTATTCTTCTAAAATAATATTTATTTGAATTCATGTATGTTTATATAATAATTTTATATATATAATAATAAATATTTGCATTTTAACATAAAATTTAAATAATTCACTTTATTTTGTTCATTCTTTTCAGTTGCCTCACCATAGCACTTTATTATACTTACTAATTATTTTAATTGCTCGAAAGCCTTTATAGCTTGAAGTATAATTAAATTTTTAGATATTCTTAAAATATGACCAAAATGGCGTCGTTCTTCTTTTATTGAAATCAACAAGGTTTTTCATTTTCAAGTCCTCATAGTTCTTCTATGTCGAAAACTCTTATTAAATGGGAAATTTTGAATAACCTCCTATAAGACATTTACTTAAGAATACATGAATTTTCTTTATATTTGCTTAATTTCTTTATCTGATTAGAATTATTTAGTAAAATGTTTGTTGCAGTTCAAATCGTACAATTGCACAAATGCAGATTTGAACTAGTTTCGCTCACTATGTGAACAGAAAAGCAAGGCAATGTCATCTGTGTAAACTACATTTTCCTGTTAACGAGTTGATAGTCACCGTCAGAAACGCATAACGTGTTTTTATACGCCTTCGAGAGGAAACAAATCAATAGATTCAAATTTTTTTTATAAAAATATTTCCGACCTTCTGATTTTAATGAGTGTAATTGTTTTTGCTCCAGTGTATTTTGACAGCGAAATTCATTATTTTCAGAGAATTTCTCTGTTTAACCATTTTAATCATTAAAAATTTTTATTATTGTAGCATAGCTCTTAAGAATATGCAAAATCAAGATCTTATTCCATTTTGAATGCTTTTCATTTAAAAAAATTTTTGGTTTTCTTTATTGAAATAAATAAAATAAAAAAAATCGATATTTTAATAGCCCATTAAAGCATTATAATCGGATGCTCTATTAAAATTTGCCTTGTTTTTTGTTTTTTTTTTATTAATATAGAAGTTAGTATATCCTTATAGAAATTTTATGATTATACAGTAGACCAATGTTACCTAATTCTCTTTCTAAGATTTATATACAAATGTATGTATGTATAGATCCTGATAGAAATATCAAAAAGTAAAAATACCTAATAAAAATTTTTATATAAAAATAAACAATAATTTTTATTATATTAACCATTAAATTTGTCAGCCCTTATCATAATTTATTTTTATATTACCAATGTTGGTAAAATTAGGTAAAATTATATATTTTTCGGAAATAATAAATTTCATTTTTTATGTCAACGTCTATAACACAATTTCTTTTATTATATTCGTTTTCAAAGAAAGTAAAAATCTGTAAAAAAATCAAATCTTCATTTTAATAATATTGATTTTATAGACATGTTTTATGGATATCACATAATTTTTGACCTTACCTTAAAATTATTACACCTTCTTTATATTAAATTGAAAAATTAAAAGCTTTGTATATTGGGTGTCCATAAAACATAAGGTCTCTCAAACCATAAAATGTAGATTCTTAATTTACATACAAATAGGTATATGGCATAGGTTTAATAATTTTTTGTTTTATGAAGGACTAGCAAATAGACCGCGTTCAGGAACCTAACTATGTAATTTGATATTCGTGAAACGATTTTTGTATTCTATACATATAAATTGTACATGTAAACTGTGCATTACCATTTTTTTAAATACGAAAATCGAAATTAATTTGAAAATATTAATTTACTAATTTATAATTTTAATACATTAGTATTTTAGTAAATTAGTCGTACTCACAACTCTTTTGAAACTAGAATGTGCCTCTCGTGTGCTTTACGATTCTCTAATCATTATCTTATTACTTAATCAGAGTCTAGTACATATTTTTACTAATTGAATACTTTTAATGGTTTGATTGCTTTTCTTATAAATTAAATGCTCTTAAGTTAGAAATTACATTTACAATTTACAATTAAAGTAATTCAAACTTTTTTTTAATATTCAAGTTCGTTTCGTTATAGTAATATAACTGTATTATATCGGAGTGTTAATTTTAAATTTAATGCAACTCTGGCAATTTTTCAGTTTAAATTCAATTAGTAAAAAAACATTTAGTTTTTAATAATACTTGTATATATACAAATTTTTAGAGAAAAACAAAATATTATTTAATATGTATAATAATTGTATAAAATTTATTTTTAAAATAGACAGGCGGTACAAAATTTACAAAATTTAAAAGTACATTAATAATTGTTTTTAATATTATTAATAAAATTAATAAAAAAATAACATTTATACAAAAAACAAAAAAAAAACCATTAAATTTTTATTAAAATTTTACAAATCCCTTAAATATTTTTTAAACTGAATTTGAATTTTTTAAATTAATTTTTCTTTTATTTTTGTATAATCTGAAATATTTTTAATAAGGTACATGAAAATTGCTCTGAATAATAAATTTTTATTTTTTTAATTTAATAATTTTAATTATTTGTTGCCTTAATTTTGCAAATTATGCAAAAAAAAATTATATGATTTTTAACTTATTTTTTTGTTTCTTAATTTTATGTTTAAAATTTTTTAATACAAAATATTTTTTCAAAACTTAATTATGCCAAATAGAAATAAAAATTTTATGTAATTTAAAAAAAATAGAACGTGTGGTGTAAAATAGAAAACTTTTGTGCAAATTTACCCACACTTTATAAAAATATATGTATATGTATTCTATATGTATATAAAAATAAAATATATTTAGTAAAAACTTTTTTTTATATTCTCTTCATTATCATATCATCTTTTTGTTGTTTGTAAGAGATCCTTACATTAAATAAATTTAAAATACTTTAATTCTTAATATTTTTAATAATATAATTGAAAATTTTTAAAAGTAATGTGATATACCACATTGTACATTGTAGTAATCTAATAACATATAAGTACGGTAGTGTTCTAAAATCAAAAATTCAGGATTTTTACAATTAAAAACTTATATTTTGAATATATTGTGCTACGTATATGCAATCAAATATAATTTTAAAAAATTATGATTTATATTCTCTTAGAATTAGACGCATCATTTGATTTTATTGAATTATCATTCAACAATTTTATAATTTTTAGAATAAAATTAATTTACAAATTTTAAATTCTTTAATAAAAAATTTTACATACTTTTGAAAAGAGAACAATGGGATATATCGTACATATATGTACCGTAAATTTAAAGAAAAATTTTAAAAAAATATAAAATTTTTTCAAAAAAAAAAAATCCAAAATGTTTACAAATATTAAAAATAAATTTTGTTTTACAATAATAAAATATTTTATTACACTTAACAAAGTATATACAAAATATAAAAAAATTATTTACGTTACAACATAATATTATGTACATATATGTAACTTGTCCAAATATTTATTTTATTTAATAATTTTATGATCTCAATATCAGAATTTTACAAAATTTTTTTCTTAACTAGAATACATACATTTTTTTGCTTTTAAAATAACTAAACTTTTGTACTAAACTTGAATGAAGAGAGGCATCCGGTATGCAGTGATCACAATTACCGTTTACAGTATACAATAACTATACTACACGGTAATAAATTTACATTACATTAAAAAACGTTCAAGACAATTAAATTAATTTTTTAGTTCTAACACCGCGCAACGCTTTGGAATTTCGAATCCGGTGCGATAGTACCACAATAATTTAGGACAATTTAAACATATTATGGAATTAATTGTTTTTATTTTTGTTTTATTGCAAAGCATACCGTATACCGTATTCATTCAGGCTTAGTTCACTTAATTCGAAATTTAATTTTAATAAAAATTTTTGTTTTTTTTTAAGTACACAAAATAATATATTTTTTATACTTAAAACTAATTTGGTGTATAAACCATTACATTTTCGGATGGCCTCCTATGTATATCGGTATTATGAAGTACTTGATTTAATAATCTTTTGATTTCATCAATTTCTGTTCTAATTGGATCTAATGGTTTTGGTTCACGTTCAGCTATTTTACCTTGTAATATTTGTTTTATTTGTTGTACAGTACCTTTACTAATATGTAATTCTTTTAAACCGAAACGATATTGAAAATTCTCTCTTGAATATTTATTACCATTATCAAATTCAGCAAATGTTACTGTTCGATCATCATTGACTAGAATACGTGAATTAACAAAATAATCAACATAAAAATCAGTTCGATGTAAAAAACGTGTTTTTGATAATTGATTTAATGCTTTCTCATATTTTGGTAACATACTGGCTTTAAATATTAAATTATTTAATTCAGCTTTATGTATAATAGCCTATATATATATATATATATAAAATAAATAAAGAATGAAAAATAAAAAAATTAGAATTTTAATTGTAAATTAAAAAAAATATTTTTAAAAATATTTATTTATATAAATAGTAAGTGTTTTTTAATTTGATTTTAGTTTCGTTTTTTTTTTTGAAATCATTACTGTATTTTTAACATAATATTTCTTTTAATTTGTAAAATATTTAATGAATGCTATAAAGTTTAACTTTATTAATTATTTTCTAAAATATAAAATGGCAAAAAAAGAACACAATACTGACTTTTTAAAGAAATGCATAAAATACAAATATCTATATATGTATATATATATATATATATACATTTATGTAACATAACATGTACATAATATTATATAGTATATAAACATACATTATAACATACATACATTACAAGTTATACTTTATTTAATTTATAATCAAGTTTAAACATTAATATTTAAATAGTTTGCATTTTATACTTAATTAGAAAAAAAAATTGTTTATTAGGACTTGCATATTACCCTGGCAACCTTAAAAAATAAAATAAATTAAAAAAAAAAAAAGTGGGAATTAATATAAATGAGAAAATTAAAAATTGGAAAAAAATTTTATTTAATTTTCTACTAAATTTTTTTCATGAAATAAAAAAATTTTTTTTTGGATCTAGAACCGAGACGTTTTTATGTTATAATACAGTAAAGTAAACTCTTATAAGTGAGAATACTTGCACGTATTAATTGTTATTGGTGTATTTTAAAAATCACAAAAAATTTTCAAAATTAAATTGTTATATGGGTAAGTACAAGTACAATAAATGTTGATTAAGATTTTATTGGATTGACCTATTAAATTTATAATTTGAAAACAAATTCTAATTCAGTACATAGTTTGAAATTTCGAGTACAACTGAAATTATATAAAATTTCTTTAATTGGGTATTTAATTTTTATTCGAAAATTTTTCTGTTACTCTTAAAGAATATACAAAACAATTACAATATTTTTATATTCAACTAACATATAAAGCTATACATAGCATGTTTATTCATAATTTAGTATGAAAGTTAATGAAATTCTGTAACAGAACCCTACCAACAAATTATGTATATGTACATTGCCCAAAATTTATAATAATAACTTGGCCAACCCAATACTACAATGAAATCACAATTAATTTGAAAAAAAAAAATATATAATTCTGTCACCTTTTCGACATTTTAACAATTTATATACTATTACAATTCGAAAATTTTCCTTCACCACAAATAATACATACATATGTAAAATTTAAAATAACTAATATTGATTTTATAGAATGCACAAGCAAAATAAAAATACACGATAAAATAATTAAAACTTTAAAAGTAATCTAAAATTAGTACCTTAAATTCATTTTGTTCATTTATTTAACAATCTACATTTAAATTTCGAAAATTTAGTAAAAATACAGAATAATTATTAAATATTACTTTTCAAACCAAACCAAAATATTATAAATGAACATTTTAAGGAATGACTCTAGATTACTTATTTTAAATGTGACTTGAATATTAAATCTTATGAAAACTAATAACATATATATGTACATATTATAAGAAAGAAAGTAATTATTATAATGACTTACTTGAACATCACTGACTGCTAAACCATGTAATAAATTAACTGCCACTAATGCCATTGAACAAACAAATATGAAGAATATTAAATAACCCCAATAATATTTTGAATGAAACATAATTGTACCACCTTCATATTCACCAACAAACATTACTAATGTTTTAATTGCTGTTGGAACATAATTACCAAATTCTAATCCTTCTAAATCATTATCTTCATTTTCATCATTACTTGATGATGATGATGATGATGCTACTGTATCAGTTGATGTTGTAATTTTATTATAATTAATTGCACTTTCATTAACACTACCATTTTTTAAATTATCACCTATTTTTTGTTCTTTATTAATTTCATGACCAAATAATATCATAAAACAAAAACTAAATGATGCTATATAAATACCAAATAATATTGAAATTTTTAAATATGTTTTAATAACCTGTTCAAATATAATAACATAAACTGATAAAAATGATAATGATGCTGATCTTATAACAACTGATAATTCCATTGCCGAAAATAATATTGCTAATGATGTAAATCCTTTAATTGTTTCCTTATGAAAATTATATAATGGTAATGTTAATATTATTAATAATATTAATATAATTTGTAACCAATCGATTACATGTGTAAAATATGACCATTTCATTAAATAAAATTGAAATAATTCACGTAATATAAAAAATATTAACATCATTACAACAATTACACTACTTATATTATATAAAACTAAATAAAAATTATTATCATTATCAATAAAATTAAATCTAAACATATTATAATAAACAAATGTTAAAAAAAATAATATTATTGTTATAAAATTAATTAAAAATATTTTTGATAATGAATTCCATTTTAATATTATTAATGATGTTATTAGTGGATGCTTTAATAAATAATTTAAATTATTACTTTGTGCTAAATCTAATATCACATCAAATATTTTTTCATTTTTATGATGAAATTCATCTGGTGGTATGAAATTTTTAAAATTTAATAAAATTCTCTCAGAGAATAATTTCTTTTTAAATACTAAATTTTTTCTTTCATCTAATAATTGTGGATTTTTTTCATAATAGAAATCTTTAAATTTCTCTTCTTGATCTAAATATTCATCATACCATAATAAACAATTATCTAAATGATTTTCTAATAATTTTGGATGTTTTTCAAAATATATAACATTTGATCTATAATATGAATCTTTAATCATTAAATGAGCACCACGTTTTAATAATTCACTAATAGCATCCTTACTATCTTTATTTATAGCATATGATAATAATGTAAAATCATTTTTCATGACTTCATCATATAAAAATTTAACACAAATCAATTCATTAATTCCAATTAAATTTTGATTACGAAAATATGAATCTCTTAATTGTTTTTTTGTATGAGCACAACATTCAAATGCTTTATCCAATATAACACGCATTGCTTCAATATTATCGTAATAAATAGCGCTTGTTATTAAATCAATAAAATCATATTTAACATTTGTATCCGATTTAATTTCATGTTGATGTTTTTCAAAAAATTTTCTAAATCTTTTTTTAAATGTTGCAGTCTCCTTCCAAATAATATTATTTTCCATTATAAAAACTAATTCTAATCTTTCATCAATATCTAATGAAATTTTTTTCAAATAATCCCGATGATCTAATAGAGCTTCAATATTTGATTTATGTGTTTCAAAAGTCATCTCAATAATTTTATATTTTGCTTCATTTTTTAATTTATAATTTGCAAATAATTTATCATAAAAATTATATGAATATGAAAGGAAAACACTTTCATCTAAACTTTTATGAAACGCTTTAAATTGTCCAAAATTTCGTGCTATTTCAATAAATTTAGCTATTTCTAATGGCAATGTATTTGATACAGCTGCTAGGAACATATAATTTGATAATTCAACAAACATATCAGGATCTTTATTATGATAAATTATATTCATTGTTGAAATAACTTCTGACTTTGAATATTGCTGAAAATATAAATTGAATCGAAGATTTAATCATTATTACAAAGGTTTTAAATTTATTATTTTTACCTTATGCCGAAATATAAAATAATAAGAAACTTTAAAATATTCATAACGATCAATTCTACTTATGATTCCATCAAACACGCTCTCATTTGAAATACTGTCCTTAAGTAAAATATCAGCACCATTAGCAAGAGACGTTAAAAAAATTTCAATATCATTTGCTTCAAATGATTCCTCTAGAAGATCTTGTAAAACATCCTATGTTAATTAAAAAATAAAGTTAATTTTTATTTTAAGTTTTGTACTGTGATATACCAATAATATTACAGAGAGCTACACTTACCAACACATCATAATGATCTGTTTGCAGAATTTTTTTCAATTTATTAACTTGTTCTCTTCCAAAGTCTGATGAAATATTAATTAATTTAGTCACATTCTCTAAATGCTGAAACAAATAAGTTTAATTATTAAGTAAATTATCACGTGGTTAAACTTAACCTACATTAAATATGAATTATTTCCACTATTACGTACATTTATTTTTATAACATACATTTATACATATAAACACACAGTATTTATAATTTACTCTAAAAATTTAATATGTATACAAAATGAAAAAATTAAGAAAATTTCGCTTACCAAACTTGGATTTTGACGAATCCAATCGATACACATTTCACGATATTCTAAAGCATCTTCATAATCCGTTTTAATTAAAATTTCTTTTTTCAGTAATTTTTGATAGCAATTTTCTTTTGAATTATCACATATTTGAAATGGATTACCGCCTTTATCAACTGCAGCTTCAAAATTTTCTAAATTCCAACCAGTTTTTTTAATTGATTCCTCCATCATTTTTTGATAATCCTCATAATCTTTTGATGATAAATTTTCTAGAGAATTATAAACTGATGCTTCCGCTGAGTCAATAAAACCGGTACTATCAATATCAAGAGTGATCATATCTGGCACTGTTGGTAAGATCTTCTGATATAATGCTGACATTATCTTAATATTTTTTACTCTTATCTAGAAAAATAATGTAAATATTATCATAAATTTTGAGAAAAAATAATGAAAACTCTCTTATATGTAATTTCTAAAATAAAAAAAATCTCTTTTACTCACCAAACAAATATAGAATCCAATGTACAATTTTATAATAATCTCAAAATTGAAAACGAATAAAAAGGTAAATAAATTTTTTGTAAGATTATTTCACCTTTTCCTCTCTTTCTCTTTTTTTAATGTTTTCGTTCTCTTTTTCGATATTTTGTTTCATGTGCGTGGCAGAGGCAAACAAATATTATAATTCTTAGATTTAAAAATAGTTTCTATGTGATTTCTAAATAAAACAGCTGAAACGATTTTAAAAATCCAACAAATGTTGTATATAAATAAAAAATTAGCAGGTGAGAATTACTTATAATAATAAAATTTTATTTAAATACCTATAAATATAATTTTTGAAAAGGTAATAAAATAACTGGAATTCACATGGGTACATACAAACATTATTCGCAGTTCTAACAAATATAACAATAAAATGTAGTAGATTAGGTAAAAGTCGGAATTTTTATTATAAATGTTTTTGCATTTACAATGTTTATTTTAATCTATTTTAAAATTAAGTGGAATTTGATATTATTTATACATTTAAAATACAAAATCAAAATGGTGCCAATTAAAATACAAATAATTTAAAAAAATTGCTCATAAAGAATTAATAATATTGGATAATTATAGCACTTGTAGAAGTAATGATTAATAATTCAATTTTATTTTCTTGATTATATATAATAATAATTATATACAAGTTATAATTATATATAAGTAATTAAATAATTATATACAAGTTGTATTTAACTCAAATAGACCTAGTGAATCATGAACAGCATCACTTTCAGGTAAAAATTTAATTTATCGAAACTTCCATATAAAAACTACGAGCAATAAGAATTAAAATCAAAAATTTTAAGACTCCGGAACTATTATATATCATATTTAAGTAATACAAATATTAGAATGTAGATAAATTAGTATAAAATTCCAAGCATTTTAGTTTAGTACACAATATTTAAAATTAAAATTAATAAAATCATTTTATCTAGTAGCTCTGGTACAGAAATTATAGAAATATTATAAAGTAAAATGGTTTTTACTAATTCTTAAACATATCAATATTAAATTAAAATTCAAACACTTATTTTTGCTTACTTAATATTATTAGAAATTCAATTATAGAAAAAGAAAACAAAATTTCACTTTTACACTATTTTTGTATTAAGCATGCAATACTTATTTTGATTAAAAATCACGATCAAAGATGTCATGTGTGTCTTCCAAATCAATAATACTAAACACTTGCAAACAAAATGCAAATGAATTGCGTATTTCAATAATAAAGAATGAACAACACTTTGAATTAATTCTTAATTTAGAACAAAAAATTAATTGATTTTATTAAGAAAATTTTATTTATTTTAAAATATTTTAAGTCAAGAAATTTAATTGAGCATTTAAGCTTAAATAATTTTCAATAGATTTTTATTCATTTCGACTACATAATATGTAGATGTACATATGTGTAATGGTATAATTTTAGCTATCTAACAAATAAAAATTGAACTAAATTCATTTTATTTATTCTAGATAATAAATTAATAAAAATTTCAAAAAATAAAATTAGGGACAGTTTTGTTATAAAATAATTTCAAATTTTGTAATATTGCTATATCTAAATTTAGAAAACAAATTAAGTACTGATATCTACCGATTGATTTCGGTACTTTTTAATGATCATTTAAAAAATTTATTTTTAAGCTTTTATGCATATTGTGTGAAATTTGTTTAATTAAACTTTCAAAATAAAATGAGGAATTTTACGATTTTTTAGAAGTTAAATTTTTAAAATTCCAATTTTTCTATCGATAAACTAGAAAATTGACATATGATACATATGTCCTAGTGTGTTTGCATTTTTAAGTTTTTTCAGAAGCTAACAAGCTAATATTGAACATTAATAGCAAAAGACGTACCTGTATATGTACATATATGTATATATTTCTCATGAAATACCGCAGAAAAATGTCCCTTTTATACCTACTTTATTTACAAATTAAATAAGTGCTATTTGTATTTATAAATGAATTCAAATATGTATAAATAATGTCACTTTTTTTGAAGTATAAAAAAAAGGAGAACGCAACCACCCTGTAAATTGAATAATTTTTTAAATACAACACATACATATATTTAGGTATGTACATAGTTTTATAAAGCATAACAATTATCTATGATTATTTCATTTTATCAATTTTATAATAAAATGTATGGATATGTACAAATGTTTATGTATGTACAATGTATTTATATATGAATATTTATAGGAAAAATTTTTCACATAATTGTTTATGATTATCTCAATTTATGAGTAAAAATTGATAAATACAAACTTAATTTACACAGTATGTTATCAAAACAATTTAATATTTTTATTATACCGTATGTATAAATATTACATACATACCATAATCTCGAATAGATTACATTACACTCATTGTATATATGTATTTTGAGTTCAATAGCAATAATATCAAATTTTTATTATTGTAGTGGTTATCTTAACAAAAATAATGTAAAATCAAATACCACGTGCTTATATCATTATATCTCACAATACAAACATACAATTTACAAACACTCTCTTTCTATTTAATAACTCTTACCACTACAAAGAAATTAATCTTCGGTTAATAATAAAAGCCTCACCTTTATAATATAAGCAATCTAACTTTACTACTTATTTTGTTTATGAACTTTAACTTTATCAAGCATTTTTATTATGACAATAAAGAAATACAAAAAAATATTGATTAGAATTAGTTCCAACAACTTTTATCATTATGAATATCTTCAAAAAAATATGCAAATAAAAATTTAAATAAACCTTTATTTAATCTGTTTCGCAGCATTCTTATCAATGCCTTCTTCAAAGTCACTTTTTTCCTTTATTGTTACAAAAGAAATTAGTTAGTAATTTTTATTATTACCAGACTGTAATTGAAGTTCAACGGAGCCATAGCAATATTCCTTAATTTTAAAGAAGGTATAAAATGTGTAACTTTTATTATGGGGCCACTGTTCTTTTTCCCATTCAAATATAAAAAATTTCTCTCAGATTTTTATATTGAAATATTTTTTGACTATAAGAGAATTGTTTCTCTTCAACTCTCTTATTGTCCTGAATGCCATAAAAATATTTGCCAAAAGAGTATGCTATACACATTTACATTATAATATTGTTTGACATTTAATACATATAAACATTTTAAACACAAATACATATTATATGTATATAGAATGGCAAAAATTTATTGTTTTGTATATATAGCATATTTTCCTGACATTGTAGATGTCAACATATTGAATCTTTCATGGGTTGTTATCAATGATGGGACTTTTTAATGAAAATTTGGAGTAAAAAGTATTTAATTAATGTTTTTTTTTAAATAGGTACGCAATTTGAAATAGTATTTTTAAAGAGAGTCGTACAAAATTACATCGTAATTCTAAAATTTTTAATTTCAGAACAACTATATTGTTTTTATTCAAATTATATTGATATTATTTTTTTCTGATATATTATATGAATAAATCGTATTAAAATTTTATGTACATATTTGTTACTTGGGTCCTATTTCTTATCACTGAACTACATAATTAACATAATATGCGCTTATTAAAATGCTAATGCGTAAAAATCACCATGATAGTTAAATAATTTTAATGGTAATTGACCATTTTAAGTGACATAAAAAAACTAATTTTATGTGCGATAAATTCGTCGGATTTTTAAAATGAATTTAGATTTTTTAAATTTACTTGTAATAAAATTATAAAGAATTTCATTGTAATAGTTTGCTTTAAAAAGAGAAAATATTACATTGTGCTAAGTGTTATTGATTTTGACAATTTGGCGAATTTGTCACACATAATTAAACTATTTAATAGTATTAATTTATTTTTAAATTTAATAAATCATTAGGTTATATTAAAAATTTATTTAGCTTATTTTGTCTAGTTAAAATCATTTAAATATTTTCGGACAATCCACTTTTCTATCACTGAAAATAATTATGAAAAACTATTCTTCTATTTTTTATAAATATTTTTTTGATCATTATATTTTCTAATTAAAATTATTGTTAAAATAACATAATACTTTCGCGTCATTTAAATTTAAAACATTCTCACATGTTTTTGTTTTGGTACATAATAATTTTAATGAAAAATGTATCACAAATTCATGATCCCATCACTGGCAACATTCATGTATTTTTTTACACAAAATTTCTTTTTTCCTATTACATATAATTTTCAAATTCTTTATACATTATTCAAATATTTAAGAACTAAAAATATATTAATAGCAATTCCAATACAATATATTGCACTATTATTATTCAATAATCACACAAACAATTATTTCTATAAATAAATTTTCTTTTTATTAAAAAAGAAAGTACCCAATTATTTGCTAATTCAAGTACAGCAAAAAGAATTCAAATTCTAATACTTTTGAAAAAAAACTCTTAATTACCTTTAACAAAATATTATGAATTTTTAAATAATTTAATACCATAAAAACAAGAAAACAAAAAAAATTTTATACGAAAAACAAATTCACGTGATTTTGAATTATTTTAGAGACAAAAAATCAATAAAATACTTCATTTTCATGAATGAAATTGAAGTAAAAAAAAAATAAAATTTTTTCCAAATAAATATTATAGCCGCCGTCTATTAAGTTTAACAGTGAATACGGAACTAAACGCAAACGCAAAAATTTTTTCATAAAATTTAACATTAAAATTTTTATTATGCCGAAACCCAGACGTTTAAATCGAATCAAATAAATAAAAATGACTGCGGCGATGACGACCACAACGAATTTTCATTCTTCTCTGCAAAAAGCAAAAAATTTTAAGATTTTTTTTATTTGATTTTTCGTATTTTATTTTTACTTTTTAGAATCTTTTTTGTTTTGTGTCTCTTTACTTTGCGATTCAACTTTTTTTTTTTTTATTATTGTATCATAAGTATTTTTTGTTATTTCAACGGATCTTATTCAAGTATAATACCACATTAAATGGCTATCTTCAAAAAGAAAAAAAAAAGCAGAAAAAAAAAACATTTGAAGTAATTCTGCCGGTTTTCACTTTTTATTTTCGTTTCTTTTGCTTCTTTTATTATCAGTAAAGCGTACATATTTAAATACGAGTTTATAATAAACCGAGTTCAGATACAATCATATTAATAATAACGAAAGTAATAAGTGTGTATGAAAAAGAATTTTTACGATAAAGGTAAATTGTGGGGTATTATTATTAATATTAAAAAAGTTATCCCCCTATTCTGATCGGCTCATTTTGTGACATAAATATATATTTACATAATACATTTGTGTGTATATAGACTTTTAGGCTTTTGCTTTTGAATTTAATGTCGTAAGACGGTTTCTAACATACTTGAAATCACTGTTCTAGCATAGGTTTAACAACAAATTTTATAATGGACATTGTCATTCTGCCACATTTACATTGAAAATTTTATTCGATTCTCGATTTTTTATTCGATTAATTAATGGTTCCGATATACCAATTATGTAGTTTACCTAAGCAGTTAAACTTAACAATGTTAAAGGTATCCAACTGGTAAAAAGTTTTCTATATACAATATTCTTCCCCTATTTCAAGATCCATTGTATGAACTGTAAAACAAATACAAGTAAAATGTTAGTCAAAACTATGATATAAATGTAAGGGTAAAGTAATTGTACATTTAATTTGTTTCAAAAGACCCAATGAGCCTTATTACAGTTGTCGAAGTAGAGCCATAAATAATATCATTACGACTTGAATTTAATATTTGAAGTTATGTTCGCAGTGACACGTCTTGCCGCAGAATGTCGACTATACAGAATTGTCTGGTATATTAAAATTCGTTAAAAAAATTGGTTTGAAAAAACAACTACTAAAATTTGTCAGCTTCTTGAATTTTTTTTTGTGTTAATTAAATGTCACCTTTTAATAAAGCGTGCGTTAAACGAAAATTCTAAACGTACAAACAATTTCTGAAAATATATCCGATTTTTATTATATGAAACATAAAAAAGTCAAAGAATTACTATTACTGTATATTGTATCTTTTTTTCACTTATGCCTACTGATCATTGTCGCAATAATAAAAAGCAAAACAGTCGATAATAAATTTCACAAACACAACCACACTCGTTTGTAGCAATTGTCGTACAGTATAAAATAAATATGAACAAAGTAGGTACTTTCGTTGTAAAAGTAAAATACAGAGATATTTATGATATCGAATCGGCATTCGGCAAACATTTTTAAGATCATTATTGTACTTATTTATGCTTATTTGTGTTTGTGTGTATAATCAAAGCTCGTCAATATAAATCAGAGTTTAGTTGTTTTAATTAAAAACATTATGATAAATTTAAAATAATTATATAACAATCGTTCATTACCAAAATGAATACTTCATTCGTTGTTGTTTGTGTATTTGTATTTTAATTAATTAAACATGATAAAAAAAAAATACATTTTTTTCGGTCTTTAATTAAAATTAATCAATGTATGTATGCTTAAATATTCAATCAGAATTTTTGATTTATTTTAATTATTTGTTATGTCAAATTTATACATACTTACATACATACACAAAATAATCAATCGATCATTTTTCAATTTCATTATGGAGCATAAAAATGTACAAAACAAAGCATATAAAAACGGAAATAACATTGAAATGCTTGCTGTTTGGGAAGTTTTTTAGTGAATTTTGTGCAAGGCAGATTCCAAGTTGACTTTTAATAAATCATAATTTATGATAGAAATTGTGAGAATTTCAGTGAGGATTTGAAAAAAGTAATTGCAATTATATACACACATTAGTAATTATAGCGTTTAGCTAAATTACCTTCCAGTATTTGAGTTATTGTACCTAAAGTAAGTATACAAAAAGACTCAAATATCTCTCAAAATGAAATAACTAAAACTGACAGATAAACGAAAGCAATTTTTTCAATTAAATGATAGACGAACAAACTGAAAACATTCATAATTTCGCATGCAATTTAATTTCTTTTTTTAGAATTGAACTTTGCTCCGTGAATATGTAAATATTTTTATTCCCGGTTTAAAACGTATAATATTCGTCTCATAATCAAACACATTTTAAAATAAACAATCATTAATTCCATTAAGTCTGAATCATTATTCAAACGATATGCCTTTTTATACTTGCGTAGGTATATATACACACATATGTACGCACATACTCATTGCTATACATATTGAATAATAAATTTCACTCATTGTAAGCGCCACTTTATTGAATCGTAATTCAATACTTTAAAAATGTTGCTATGCTATAAAATAAATGCTGTAAATATTTTTCAGTTACATAATATATGTACATACTTGTACATAAATTTACAGATTCTAACACATTGTTCTCATAGAGACTTATATTTTCGCACTATACATTTCAAACATGTTATTATTGTATTTAACAACATGTATAACAAACTTTTTTATGGCTGAAAGAAATTAAAATGGTAATGTTAAAAATTAGTCATAAATTTTTAGTAAAATTATAGCGCCGCCACACCAATGATGATATCATCACTGTTTATAATGTGTTGCTTTTTATAATTATAATTTAATTATGTATAAGTACATATTATTATATAAACTACATACTTATTTTTCATTACCCAAATTTAGGTTCAACTTTTGGACAAATCTTAATTTTTACACCCTACACCTTAGTCAAAGATGTATTAACTTTAGTAAGGATTTGCTAATCATTTTAGGGCGTCATTTGCAATATGAATATCTATATATGTATGTATGTGCATTTCATATATTCTTGCTCAGCGTGATTTGACCAATTCAAATAACGGATCCTGGTAGCTGCCATACAACTCAAACAGCTAATGTTAAATATTTGAAAAAGTATTTAAATAAATGACAGATGCATGAAATTTATAAGCTAAATATATCCTGGAAGCTTTAGTGGAATGTATTGACTGGTTCAATTAGCTGCTATAAAACTCTTGAAGCTTAAACATATTACAAAAACTAATTGAGATGATTCCATGAAGTTCGGTAAGAAGAATTAAAATTATAATAAACACATGCCTCACAAATTTTATTCCAGTCTACCGACATAATTCGAAAGATGTACTCCTCAATTCTGTAATAAAAGTTAAGAAAACAACAAAAAATTAAAAAAAGTTCCAAAAAATAGTACCATTTTGAATTGTAATGGCTGTAATTATCGAACTTTTTTTCATTCCTGTCCGACATCTGGTTGCCAAGTTGCAGAACTACAGAGATTTCATGGAAATAAATGAATGACCAGTTTGTTATTTTTCTTCATGACAAGTAAGTATGTAGCACTTTTTTTAAAAAAATTTTAGATTTTTTATTTTTGAAACCACAGTATTTTTTTTCACTTTTACTTAAACTGATCAATCATAATCAACAACTATACTCGTAATTGAATAATGGCAGTAGACTGAGAAAGGTATCTAGGTCTTCTATTGCAGTGGTGTTGAACGGTGAGCGTGGCTCATACTCCTTTGTCAGAAGATTTGCTGTGGTATCATAATTCTGAGATCGTAGTGACTTGTCTAAAGGTTTGGGCCATGCCTACCTCAATTACTCTAATTAATTTAATTACTCGCGATATTGACAGGCCGATTTGTGTTTCATAAACAAAATTTATTCATTTGTTTTGTTTTAAATTTTTTCTTTACTTTACTTTCATATTTAAAGTAAACAACAATCTATAATAAACTTTTTTCTCGTAAAGACAGTGAAATTTACTTGCTTTAGGACAAAAATTGTGTGAGATATTAAAGATGTCTATCTTCTATATAATTTTGTAATTGAAATATTTTCTTTTTTTTTTAAATTATGTATTCATTTTTGTCTTTATGTTAGATAATAAATTGTTTTTTACAATATAATCTTGAAATTTGTGCAAAATACTGACTATATTTTGTATATATATAAATAAAACATAATAATATTAAATAATATCACATAAAAAACAAAAATATCTTAAAAAAAATTGTTATCCTTAATATTACTATTAAATTGTATAAAATGGCATAGAAATTGTTCATAAACGGACAAAAGAAACAACAAGGAAAAAAAAATTCGAAAAATAAAAAAAATAATATTAAATAAAATAAAAGTCCACTTTAATAAGGATAAACTTTTATAAATTTGTTATATACCAGTACCTACATATACATAGTACAGTTATAGCCTATATATCCTTTTTAATGCGATATGATACCAGGATAATATTATTCTTTAAATAGTTTTTCATCTTTTTTTGTCTTAGCTTAATATTTAGATTCTTTAAAGAATATTAAGAAAAATGTCATTGCCAAAAAACAAAAAAAAATAAAGATGTTTGGGTATTTGTAACCCATATATACTTATTCAAATGTCCAATTTCATTTCCTCTATACATTATATAATGGAACCTATCATGATACTATCTTACAACAAAAATCATACCCATATATTTAAATAAAGAAAATGATAGTTAGCTGACCCAACTATAAGATATTGAGGATATTATAAGCCTAGATATAGTGTTTTAAAAGTATTTGACTTCGTATGCGTATTTTGTTTAAATTATTTGTACAAATTTATGTAGGGTATCATTTCAATCACCGAGCTATTTC